TGAAACTTTTCGGGAGCCGCGGTTGCTCAGTGAGTTAGACGCTTGCTCGCTAACCTGAAGGTCCAGGGTTCAATCCCGGCATAGGTTCGAGATAATACCTTTGGATTTTTCAACCTGGTTTCCCCCTGTCAGTAATGCAGGTAAGAGGGACTGACATGGAAAAAGCGTCTAGTCCTTTGGATGGGACAATAAACTGAGGCCCCGTGTGCTACAGGCTGTGCACGTTAAAGATCCCTCGACAGTTGGAAATCGAAAAAGAGCAAGCTAATGCCGCTGTCCTGGAAAAATTTCCCTCAATACAACCTGCATGGCGTTGCCCGTCTTCATTAGCCTACATGGTGCAGAAAAGTAGGACGTAAAACTCAATTCATTTCATTTCATTTTCTGAAAACTTTTCTTCCTTGTGAGGAAATGTTCATTGTTAATCTTAGACTTGACAATTTGTTTTTCAATCAATGCTGGAGAGTGTAAAGTAAACCAGACAAAAAACGCAAATTGACACGAATTGAGCTTCATTTTTATCAGATTGAATGATGTGAACAGACATATAACAACAAGTAAACTGTTTTTTTCAGTTTATGATCAAACATAAAGATGGTGGTTCTATAAGACAGGTTTTAAAGTCAAATTCAACAAGATTGATTAATGTAACCAGTGGACAAATACCAGTAAGTTTTTATACCACCACTTGCATTAGAATCTTCATTATTACATTCTGAAGATTTTGTGGAATATGTTATTTTACAAGGCATTATTAAAATGTCAACTTTTTATACGCCCACATGAAATGGGGGGCGTATATTACTGTCACCCATGTCCGTCGGTCCGGCCGGCCGTCCGTCCGTTCACAATTCTCGTAGGCGCGATAGAGGCTACAGTTTTTATCTGATCTTGATGAAACTTGGTATGCATGTATGTATTGATGAGAACTCGGACAAGTTCAAAATTTTTAATAATCGCAAGAACGGTTTCAGAGTTATTGCCCTTGACTTAGTAAAATTTGGCTTGTAGGCACGATAGAGACTACAGTTTTTATCCGATCTTGATGAAACTTGGTATGCATGTATATATTGATGAGATCTCAGACAGGTTCGAAATTGGTAATAATCGGAAGAACGGTTTTAGAGTTATTGCCCTTGACTTAGTAAAATTTGGATTGTAGGCACGATAGAGACTACAGTTTTTATCCGATCTTGATGAAACTTGGTATGCATGTATATATTGATGAGATCTCGGACAAGTTCGAAATTTGTAATAATCGCAAGAACGGTTTCAGAGTTATTGCCCTTGACTTAGTAAAATTTGGCTTGTAGGCACGATAGAGACAGTTTTTATCTGATCTTGATGAAACTAGATATTCATATTCATATAATGATGAACAGTTTCAGAGTTATTGCCCTTGTGTGTACAGTGATAAGACATTATTCATGTTTGAATTTGATGATAACTTGATGAACTGATTCAGGTTTTTGCCTTGACTTATAGATGATTTTAATATTATTTGAAAATTCATTATTAAGCCACTAAAGATTTTGTTATCATTTCTGACAGCTGGTAGTGGGCGTCTTTTACCTTGTCTGGCATGCTATCTTTAATTTTTCGTCTGGCACATTATTTATGTTGACAGATTAAATAAAGGATAAGAAGAAGTGCGCACTATATTCTCAATTATAAGATATGCTTAACAACGCACAGCGTCATTTGCATAAAAAGATAAGATAGCTGTTAGCCCTGTTAAATGTTTAAGCTTGTTTCCCTTTGAATTTTACAGAATGTACCAACAGGACCTATTAGTCCTACTGATACAAGTAAATTAGATTTACAGTACCAAGGTATCTCGTTGATAACTCTGTTAGCCACTGTTGGTGAAGACAATGGACAATGGTTATCTAGTAATTCTTCTGTGGTCAGTTTCTACTTATATTTCTCTACTCTTCTCAATCTTTTTTCCAAAATATTGGTCCTGTTCAGTGAGCTTGATGCAGATTGCAGTATTATCTTGAAGTAAATTGTCCTTGGATGTGCTCAAATATATTTTCTTCCTCAAATTAACGAATAACTTATAATTTATTATTGATATATGAAAACAAAATAATAAATGATAAGTTATGTTTATTTTTATAAATTGCATTGTTTATTTTTATAAATTACACTGTTTGTTTTTATATATTACACTGTTTATGTTTATTATAAATAACAATGGTTATTTTTATAACTTATATTGTTTATTTTTATATATTGTTTATTTTTATAAATTGTTTATTTTTATAAATTTTTATTATTATTAAATGTTTATTTTTATAAATTGTTTATTTTTATAAATTTTTATTTTTATAAATGTTTATTTTTATAATGGTTTATTTTTATAAATTATATTGTTTATATTTGAAAATGGTTTATTTTTATAAATTTTT